TTTTTTTTGCTTACGCGGACAAATCACACAAATTTTTTATTTTCTATGGTCAAAATTAGAAGCAACAAAATTTCTAACGCTTCAGCGTAAGCGTAATCAAAGTTCTTTTTACTTATTATGTCTGTTATATGTTGTGATCGTGATGCAGGTAAATATAGTATACACATGCTTTAAATGTTATCACACATACATAAATTGAAGAAAAAAATGATGTTAGGAATATTATCAAGAGCCGCTTCCTCTATTCCTCACATGCATATAGACACATTTGCTTTATTGCTCTCTCTTTAGCTTTCTACACAGGCATCAAAATCTGATACTGATGAAATTGAACTAATTAAACAGTGTGAACCTGAACATGCGATTATTGTTGATGATGAACGATTTTTAAAAACACGTTTAATAGCTCAAAAAACAAATCGTGCATCAGTTGTTCATGATAGTGAATGGACAAACGAAAGAGTAACATCATTAATGTTGCCATCAGCGGCAAGTAATCCCGAACAACAAGCAAGGCATCATTATCCACCATCAGAACAATTTCAAAAAGCTAATGTACATGAGCCAACATCAATATATTCTCGTGCTAAAGCTCAACTTGTTGAACATGCAAATAATGAGCAATCATCTGATTTGCCAGTTGTTGATAATCGCCAACAGTCAACAGAAACAAAAGAAAAAGAAAATGTCATAAATATTGCTCATCACTCTAAATATCAATCATTAGGTTTAGGAATGATTGAACATGAACGACGTTCGAGTATGGCAGATGAACAAAATCGAGAAGAAATTGAACATGAAATAGCTAATGAAGTTATGATTGATGAATTAGAAAATGTCACTCATGACAAACGAAAAACTCAGTTAGGCTACGGTCGTATACTCGACAATAATAATCAATTTTTAAGTTCAGTAGAAGACAGAGATCAAGATGTACGAGAACTAGCAATGGTGAACGAACTGGTTGTTTCTGATACACTTGCATACGCAACTGATGAGAAGAAACAAATGGTATTAGGTCAAGGAATGCTGGTGGTACAAGATGATTCAAGTATAGCCGATGAAGATGGAATCGAAATTGAACAGGTATTGGCCGATGAACAATTTGTTAATGATGTACTTAGACGTGCCATAGAACAAGAAGATAGGCAACAATTAGGATATGGTCTCATTTCACATGAGAATGCACATCGTTTGAGTTTAGCTGAACAAGATGAAGAAGAAAATGACCGTTTGAACCGAGTATTTGCTTACGAGATTGAAGTTGATGATGAACTTAATCGCGTTGCTCACCTTAAAAAAGTAAAAGTTATGGGACATGGTCAAATACGGCAAGATCGCGACTTTTCAACGTTCGAGAACAGGAACGCTGGTGAAGTACCCACCCAAACACGTATGACAGAAACAATAAATGAACCAATGTTGGATTTTATCGACTATTCTCAATTAAAATCAGATTTAATTTTATTGAATAGACCGAAATTTGAATATGAGACACAACAACAAGAAGAGAACGAACAACTGGCAACGAGTGATAATAAAACATATGCCCAACAATTAATTAGTGAAAAAACTCAATCAGAAAATGCCGTAACATCTTCAGCGACGGTTTTCTGTCGTGCAGATCCTGTTAGTGATCCTGATGATGATGACCATTTATCGTTGTTGAGCGATGATTCAGTGTTATTGCATCATCAACATGTACCAAATACAAAACTAATTCAAAATGAATTAACTCATATGCCCGACAAATCGACATCTGTTCAAACATTCAATTATCCTCAGCATGATCAGGAATACATGAAATTTACCCAAGTTGAAGAACATGTATCTTCTCCTCCACAACACGATCGCACTAACAGTGAAATCCAACAAAATACACCAATGCATTTGCCTCTCATTAGTCAATTGAATGAAGCACAACATGCAAATACCATACCTCGATCTGTTCTTGAAATATTACATGATAATGTCTATGTTGAAAATGAAAGGAATAAAATCATTTTACCTACATCGACGGTCACTACTCAACCGTTATATCGTACGAAATCCCTTGAAATGTTAGAACAACGTGGAACAGATGAGAGTCAGTTATTGAATCAATTTGAAACTGACCAACGAAGAGATAGAATTGATTCAGTAACGTTAGCAAAGCATGATACAATGGCAGAATCGGTTAAAGTAAAACAACCGATAACAATATTACATCGAGAAGAAGACAATGTATCGGAAGATTCGAGTTCAGTCAATATTGAAATAAACATTTTTTCTCCTAAAGGTCAAAAATTAGCTCAAACAAATGAAATTGAACATGATAATGATATGTCACTGAACAAAGAAAATGTCCGCATCCGAGATCAACGTTTGAATGTATTAAAACGTCCATATTCCGCCACCTCATCAGTACTTGATGTTGAAAACTTTCTTAATCGATTTGAAGATAGTTTAGATCAACATGAGCAAACGATGATACCAACAACTGTACAAGAATTACCGTTGATTGATCAAATATCTCTATCTCATACAACCTCAATGAGATCTTATAATGGAATACAACTGAGTACAGAAAAAGCAATTGAACAGTATGAAAGAGAAAATCCAACAACAAGTCGAAAATTACCATCGGAATGGTATCAACAACAAGCACAACAGAATTTTGACGAATCGAATGAGTATGATGAACAATTAGTTGAACAAATTACGTTTGAAAAAGAATTGGATGCAATGGAAGAGGATACTCTTAGAAGACAATATTCTTTTCCGCGTATTAATCCACCATCACCCACTAAAGTAAAACCACTCTATACGGCTATTACTGAAAATTTAGCAGAACAACAACAATTTTCATCGTCATCTAAGGTAAATTTGAATAACGTGTGTGATAATAATAATAATAATAATAATGTTTTCAATAACATTGACAAGAGGTTTGAAACTATAAATGATTATCATCATCATCATGAACGTTCGATTAGTACTAGTTCTACATGTAGTAGCAATACTAATGCTGAATGTTATGATGATCACATTGATATAAACTGTAACAATTCTAATTTTATTAATTTAAATGATCTACAATTAACAACAATAAGTCATTGTTCACCAACAAGTGATTATGAAACAGATTCACTTGATAAACAAAGTTCATCCGATGGTAATATGAATGCATCAACTTTTATCACTCCCACAACAACAACAGCAACGACAACTGATAACGATAAAACACAGCAGGAGCAACAGCAAACACACACAATTCCATTAACACCCTCCTCGTCCTCTATCACATCTCCATTGTCTTCATTGCCCCCTCAAAATCAACAAAATATTGCTGATTTATTAAATGCATTAGCAACACATGTGAGTACACTGCATGTTCCACCATCACTACAAGATTTACAAGATAACAGTTCACATATGACTGCTATAACTGCAGCTGATACAGTTGAACAATTGAATAATGTTGCAAAAGAATTATTGCTGACATTAGGTTTTGGTAAAAGCGATAAAAAGGCTCTACCGTCGTTATTTATACCGTCTAATGATAAGTATGCTGATGCTGCTGTGCCCACCCTCGAGCAAAAATTACAAGTATGCGTGGTATCCACTGTTATACAAAAGAAAATGGACGAAACAACGACAAACATTGATAATCAACAATCACCACCACAAGTACAACAGGCAAATATCGTTATTGATAATGCATCTGATATTGAATATAAAACGCCCGTTATAAGAGAAACTCCTCATTGCGAATATCTATCAACTTTTGTACACCAGACTGACGATAATTCAACTGTTGAACAACAATCTCCGATAATCAGCCTAGAACAAAGTGATACACTTATATTAAAAACTCCCGTTCTGAAAGAAACACCGCATCAAAAATATGTTGAAAGTTTTATACAGGAAGTAGTTCCGTTTTCAACTGAGTCAACTGCTACAAATTTAAAAACTTTTCAAAAAGTTAATCAGTCTGATGATGTAGAAAAAATAACCAAACAACTACTCTATTCTGTACAAAATCAATCGGAACAATTTGAAAATGCTTTATTACTTTATTCACATCGTTTACTATATGGTCATGATTTGTTTGAAGATGAACAACAGCCATTAGAATTTCTTTATGAACCAGCTCATTTTTTATTACCAATTATCAATGAAATTCAAGTATATCGTACAAGTTTTTTATGTGATTATCCACGTTTTAATCAAGATAATATGCCATATATGGTTGTGCCATTGACACATGATGATGAGAAACAATTTGCAAAGATCAATTACATACAAACATTATTATCGGGCACATTAAATGAGTTAAAAGAGAGTCTTGATATTAGCGAAGAGGAAGAGACAATAAATTTTACCAATCGTTTAGATAATCTCGATTATATTGAACATTACCGTGTACAACCATTATATTCATTTCCCGAAACATTGTATGCACAAGTCACAGAACCACCAAGTTCAATATCAATGGCGAATGAACCACAACTAATCGATGAAAATAACGACAGATCAAAATCATTTAGTAATGATCAAGAACTAATTGAAAGTTTAAGCGAAACAATGGTTGACGAACATAAATACAATTATGCCACTAAATCAGAACATGTGGAATTTAATAATGAACAATCGATAAATATGAATGATTATCAACCAGTAGAAGAAAATTTAAATTTTTTTATCGAAGGAGACAAAGAGAAGGATGAACTATCTATAACTGAACATATTGTCTGTGAATCATCAGCATCTATCGAACATACTGTCTGTGAATCACCAGCATTTATCGAACATACTGTCTGTGAATCACCAGCATTTATCGAACATACTGTCTCTGAAACACCAGCATCTATCGAACATACTGTCTCTGAATCACCAGCATTTATCGAACATACTGTCTCTGAAACACCAGCATCTATCGAACATACTGTCTGTGAATCACCAGCATTTATCGAACATACTGTCTCTGAAACACCAGGATCTATCGAACATACTGTCTGTGAACCACCAATATCTATCGAACATATTGTCAGTGTCCAAAATTCAAATGAATCAATTGAAGAAAATCGAAATCATGTTGTTTCACTTTTACCATCGGTGACTGAACAAATACTCCACGAATCTCCTCTATCATTTACTAGTACGTTAATGACAATGATATCATCAAATCAAGTGTACAATGTTTTTACAAAATTTCCCGATCAACACCAACAGGATAATGGATTATTATCCATGGAACGAGACAGTATTGAAGAAAATTCTGATGATCAATCATCAGATTTGATTCAAACAATCGATCAGGATAGTAATTTTGATTCAGAAGATAGAATAGAATCATTTAAAATGACAGTAGAAGTTTTAAACCATCAACAACCATCAAATAAGCAGCATTTAAACACCAGTCTGCTGCAGGTAATACCCGATTATATTATTATCATTATTATTTTTATTTATGCAGCTCTGCATGTTATCATTGATTTTGATAGACAAAAGATAATTTTAGAGTTTTATTTCTTTTCTTCGTTAGAAATATGCACGTGTAGTAGACGTTTTTATTTATTTTACATTTCTTTGTCTCAATACATATACACAGCACGTTTTAGACTATTAGAATTATACTTTTTATCGTTTTGATTCTAATCAAATTCTAATCAACTAGATAAAATTTAATTAGAAATACTACTCAAAAACAAAACAAAAATTATTTTTTCTCTCACTCAGTTAGAAGAATAAATATCAAAACGAATATTTTTACTAACTTATTATAAAAATAGGGAATAATCATAAATTCGTTTGTTGTTCAATAAATTATCAAATATTATGTTATTTTGACAAAAAATGAAAGCATATAAATATCGCTATATTTGTCGTTGAACGTGTTGTTTTGTTTTGTTTTATGGTTTTTGCCGCTTTATAATAGTCGTAATGACTATATTTAATTATGGACAAATTTGTGAATAATGGATAACGATGAACATGCATGCTATTGTTATTTATACAACATACGTTATTTGATTAAATTAATCGATGTATCATAATCACAATCATATTATATCGGATGCTTAAATTCAATCGAAATATGATTTTAAAAAAGAAAAAAAAAAAAGAATAAAATTATAAGAATTTATTATTTTATAACTTCAAACCTCTTGTCGGATTACTTAAAAGTCGAAATCTATTGATTTTTGACAGTACATCACGAATTGGGGTGGGCATTTTGATTTGATTTGGCACAGATATGGAATGAATTTAATATGTTTTCACTTCCTGGTTTTGCAATTAACTGTTATTTATGGTAACGATAATTGCTTAAAAAGAATGAAATAACACAATGAAACAAAAACAATCGATTTGTTTTTCATCGCTTTTAAAATCATAATGGATTTTAATGCATTTGTGTTTGTGATTCTTTTCTTTCCCACCTAATAATTCTTACTCATTGAAGCTAACATTAAAATAAAAAAAAGAAATCAACTTTCTTCTATATTCTACTTTGATGCTTCCTGAATTCCATTTATGATTATCAACAAAACAATTTTTACATCATTAATCATGCTAACAAAATGTGTGAAACAGATGGCATTATATACTAAAGTGTTTTTAATTTTTTTTTCTCTCGCATATATTCTATTCTATTTTGTAATCTGAATATCAATCTGATGTTCAATGATCTCTATCTCATGATCGATGAATAATGATGATGATGATGATGATGATGATGATGACGATGGTGGTGATAGAAACTATAGACAATGTATTTATAGGATCAAACACACTCATACACACTCTGTTTATTTTACAAAATTGTTCAAGTTGTTAATAAAAACTGTTATATGGCATCGTCTTAGGTCACAAACTGTTAAAATAATAATAATAACTGAACTATCGAGAAAAATAAAGAAGAACAATGACCCACTAAAATAGCCTTCAAAAAAAAATGAAGAAGATATAAAAATTTGTCTTATCTGTAAATGTTCAGTACGTGTCTGAACGGTTATTTTTACTTTATTGTTGATATCTATCGTATTTGAAGAGAGAGAGAGAGAGAGAAAGAAAAGAGTAACCTTCATTCATCTTAAATATGTATGTCTGTATATACAGTATATGATCGTTACAATAACAATTTAATGATCACAAATTTGAAGGCATACTTTAAGAGTTGTGATCATCATCATCATCATCATCTTTTACTTAACAATAAAAACATATGCTCGTTTAATTGTACACTATTGTTTCTGTTAATAAATAATCAACACTCTAATAATTTGATGTGCTTGCTATTTTAATATGCTTTTATTATTTCACTATGCATGCATGATATATTAGACAATCACAGTGAGTGCTTTGCTTTCTAAAATAGTTTTTTCATCACATATCAATAACTAACCGAATGTTTTTTATTTTATTTTTACTAAAAATACTTTATATCTATACATAAGTTGAAAAGATATTCCGTAAATACATGACAAATATCAACATATCATACTGAAATAAGAGCAGGTACATTTTATATTTTGTCTTATCTCGTATTAGTTCAATAAAAATAAAATGTATAAAATACCAGTCAGACATAGCTTTGGGTAAAAATTATAGGTTTTATTTTTATCTTATCCGAGAATGAGATAGAAAAAATTCTTTTTTTATTCTCAGACCTTATATATATACACACACACACACACATATATATATAGGTATACATTGACACACACACACACATATGAACATCCAAACTAAAGAAAATAATTTATTACTATAATAAAAGTATAAATTATGTAAGTAGAGGAGATAGATCAGAAACGGATTTTTTATTTCTATCTAAAAGTATGAGATTTCTAATTTTGTGCGTATATTAACAAATGAGAAGTGGACAATAGAATCTGAGACATTCATAAACTTATAGATTGAGACAGCGCAATCTCATAGTCATAAACAGCTCAACAATATCATTAACATATTTTCTGAATGAAGAAAACAAATCTTATTAAATCCTTTATCGTCTAACTACATCTAAACGTTAGTCGTTCTAAAGTTATGTAAAATCGACAATCGGCAGTGATCGGTTTTATTTGTTTACCTAATTGAAACCAAAAAAAAAAAGTTCACTATCCTTTCTTTCGATTTATGACAATTAGATGATTATTATTATCAGAAGTTCGAGTATAAAATCTACAGACAGGGTATTCATGTATGTGTATGTGTGTGTATATACATAAAACAATACTAAACGACGAATGTACCTATTGTGTCCATATTATTTGTCATGAATGAATGACATATGTATTAGGATCTTTATGTGTACATATCGTACATCTATTGCTAATCTTTTGTTTTTATTTGAAGAGCAATTTACATTAGTGTATAGACATATTTTAATCGGACTCGATCTCTCTTTTCATTTTATGAGAAGGCTAAACTACTTATATGTAAATTTTTTTTCTTTTTATTATTATAATTACTGAACAGTAGGGAAGAAACATGAACAGTCTAAAAAGAAAGTATTTACGAAATATCTTTTTGATTTAAGTTTAAACAATCTAATAGTAATAATAATATTTGTTTATTTGCCTTTTTTTTTTCTCTCTCTCTAGGAATATATATTACATGCTCCTCGTGAAATAACGATATTATCAACGGAAGGTGCATTAAATGAAACACAACAACTTCATGTTGATGATTCAAGTTTAAAGCGTAAACAACAAGCAAAAACAGCCATAGAAGATAATCAAATTCATAATGAACTGTATCGTTTACCCGAACATTTGATTACAGAAGTACAATTATATACACCAACAGGATCTGGTAAGTCTGCTTTAATTTCATTATATAGACGAAGAAGAAAAAAAAAAAAAAAGATTTGTTATTTTCACACATATAATTTACCATACACGTAAACAAATGAAGAGTTTTGTTTCTTTTCACTAAGTGTATCGAATTTTATGAAGTTCTTGATGAAAACAAAAAAAAAAAAGCGAAAACCTTTACATAAATGGTTTCTATTTGATATTTATGCTTAGAAGCAGAATATACGGACTCTCTTTCGTGAGTAGTCAATATGAATAAGAAGAAGAAGAAAAAAAAGAAAAGAAGTATATAATTGATCTGTATATAGGTTATTGCTGTAAATAAAATGCGAAAAAAATACAAGAAAAAAAAAATTCCAAAGAAAATTGCTGTAAACTTTTATTATTTGTTTTTTATTGATATATAATTACAGTCGACAGAGATAAAGGTAAGATATGGATGAAATTATTTGATGCTAAAAAATTTTAGTTGATCTCTCCTTGGAACGATCATGTTCAGTAAAATGTGAAATAGTTTACATGTTATCAACTTAATAATATGTAGATATCTTATTAGTTCTTTGAAAAAAAAAACGAATGAAATTGATTCAACGTTTGTAGAAATTATCTTTTTTAGTTAATGTTAAAAAAAATTTATCTTTTTTTTTTTTTTTATGCAGTTTTTCATGTTTGAAAGTAGAGACTGAAAATGAGAGGTTTTTTTTTATATTTCGATCGATTAATGATCATTGTGTAATTGATATTTTTGTAGTAAAAAAATAAGGAGTAGTACTTCTTTGTCTCAGAAACCGAGATGATTTTAATTTTAGTTTTATAATTTAGTATCAAGATAAATATCTAGTTTTGACTATAAAATTGTGTCAGTTAACATATACTTGAGCATATTGTGAAAAGTATGAACGTTATAAACTTCTCTTATTTGTCTTTAATTACGTAATATAAGATCCATTTTCTTTTTTTGTACATTCTCATTTTTGTTGAAAAAGAAATGAAAATTTCAAACAAAATTGATGTGAATTTGTCATCATCTAAAGCAACTTGTCTAAGTTTCATATATCTCGTTGCTTTCTCTTAAATAAAACAGAAGATAAATTTGAGCTTTCTACACTTAATTCCATATGAAACTGTTTCGTTACATTATTTTTTTTGTTCTTTTCTTCAATTATATATGTGTACATATCTTCGATGTAAGTATATGTATATTTGTTCTGATGCTTAAAAGACATAATCATCATTTTTCAAAAAATTTTATCTTCTATTCTCAATAGTGTCCGTCTTTTTTTCTTCTTTTATCCATTCTAAATACAATCAAAGATATTATATACATACAGGTATACAAATGCAAATATAAATAAACTGTTTTAACCTTCTATATTCATTTTTTATTTACAAAAAAAAAAATTGAAATTTTTTTGAAAAAGATTGTATAATCAGAGACGACATATTAATTATTTAGGTAAGTATTTTTCTTCTATTTCAATTATTTATTTATCTATGATTGGTTTTAGTCATTCGATCGTTTTATGTTCACTACTAATTTATCCTGTAGATCTTGTATTTTATAAGACAAAGATAGTAAAAAAAAAAAGCTGTTGATTTTTATTAGCAGCCTTCGATTTGAAGTATCTTAAAAATTTCCTTTTTCAATGTTATCAGACAATAAACAATATTGTTTTACATTTGAAAGACCTTATATAGTCACTTGATCGATAGACTTATTATTTTTTTTTTTCAACTTTATTTGAATATAAGCAGAATCTATCTCGAATTTTGTTGATATTTTATTTTAATTATTAAGTGTTAGAAAATCTTCATGTTGAAAAGAGTTAATTGTATACAAACATCTGTCAGGATATTAGGTTTTCAGTTCCATCTCTAACCTTGTACAGGTAAAAATGTATTGAATAGAATGAAAATTGTAGTTTGCACAATGATAGAAAGATGTAAAATTCAAATATGTCTGTGATGTTCGCATGTGTGTGTGTGTGTGTACATTAGTAAGAAATGGCAAAAAAAGCCTAGTATCTAACAATGTGGAATTGTATTACATACGTTGATTTTTTCTTCTTGTATATATATAATATTACAGAAATAAATAAATGAATGCCTTTTTCAAAGTAAAGTTGTAAAAAAAAAAAGGGTGTTAAGTATTGTTAGAAAAGTGATAGACTGGTTTTTCACAAGAGAAATATTATGAGTGGTATGTAATAGTTTTAATTGCATTGTTCTTCTTTCAAACTTGAACTAAAAATATTTATTAACAAAAATTTTTTATCGTTTATTGAAGTATATTTTGATATTTCGCATCTATTATCGAAAGTTAACCATTTAAGATATATATATATATATCACTAAAATTTTATTAACTCGTTATTATTTTCTTCTTTTTTTTTTCTTTTTTTTTCTTGAAATTATTGCCAAATAAAACTTGTTACAAAGATATTTAATTTATTACCTTTTTTTTTTTGGTTATTCTTTAATAATGTGTACTTCAATGCAATAAAATGATTTATCAAAATATTACTCTAATAAATTCAAGTCCATAGAAAGGTGTAAATGTTATATAGATGAGCAAATAGAGTTATATAATCTAAATGATATGAATGAGAACACCATTCTATCCTCTATATCATTTTAAAATAGTACACTTACAAAATTCATATTATTTCAATTATATAGATGTCAGTATAATCTGTTAAAGTAAACTGTATAACTTTAATTTTATAGTTCTATCATAGAACACAATGACATCATCTATCTGTTAAACATTGTATTATAGATGGTATAAAATGCAAAGATTACTTTTAACTACTGAACTAAATTGTTTGCAATATAACAAATAAAAGAAGAAAAAAAAAATGCTTGAAAAAGAAGCGTCCGAATTTTAAATATTTTTTGGATCAATTAAGATGAGAAGATTTAGTTCCCGATTCGTCGACATGTTAATTAATTTTTCTGATTCGTCAACACTATAAAGTGTCGACGGTTCGCAGACATCTTTCATCTTCCCGCTCAAAATTTTGTCGACAAATCAGGAATATACCGATGAGAAAGATTATCAAACAATTATCATAAACGTGAAACAAATTTTTAATCAGACTAAAAATAAGATATTATTATTAATTCAAAAATCATAGTACAATGCAAAAAAAGAAAAAAACTCAATTTTTTTTTTTTATTAGTCTGATCACACACGATAGTTTTCTTTTGTCATTTTGTTATTTTTATTATTTGAAAATCGAAAAAAACATTCACACTCTATCGATGGACTGTGTGTTTTTGAGGGTTTGTTTTTCCATCCTTTATTTATTTTTCCTCTCTGTGTTTTTTTTCTTCTTCTTCTTCTTTTTAAATGAATAACACTTCACTAATCCTGTTTGATTAGCTTCAATAACATATCGTTCTCTCTCGTCTCATATTTTTATTATTATTTTTTTGAAAAAAAAAACAACAAATAATATCTAAGCAATATAGAAAAAAAATACATATCAGATGGTGTATTATTTGACAAGGTTCGTTTTTCGATTTGAATAATATTTATTATAATACTCTATTGAAATAGACATCAACGATTATCTGTTTTTTCTTTCACTCTTAAGTTTAAAATAAATAATCGACACTGTAAGACTATAGAAAGTAAAAAAAGCAAAAAAAAAAAACAAAAAAAAAATCATTATCATTTTTATTTTTCAGTAGTAATAAAAGATCAAGTGGAATGATTTACATATTTCAAATAGTTTTGACAATGTTAAACTGACATGTATTAAATATGCTTAAAAATTTTCAAAATAATAACAGAGTGTGTGTGTGTGTGTATCAGAGATGACATACGTGAAAAATATGTTTATACTTAGAAAAGAATATTTTAAACAAGACATATAATTGTAGATCATCTTATTTGACGTATATTAAGAGTACTTCTTGCACAAGAAGAAAACATCAAGATATTTTGATCAAATTTGACTATTTTAGATTGAACAGTTTGTTTTTTTTTGTTTTAAATAAATTTCATTTTTTTTTTTGTTTTGTATTAAAAATACTCAATAATTTCTTACCTCATCATATTTAATTATTTATTAGAAAATATTTTTTTTTTTTTCGTTTTAATTAAAATTTACATTAAGATCATTTATTTTAAAAAAAATATCATTTTTTTTATATGATTGAATTCAGTCACACTTCTCTTTCAATGTGTAGAATGATACAATAATTTTATATTCTAAAAGAATTGAAATTAAACGTTATGATTCTTTTTTTTTTTTCATTTTTTTCTTATCTTTTTTTCTAAAATACACATACACACTGCTTCTGTTTTGTTTAAAATTTAAATCACGATATAGTTTAGTTTATACATGTATTATATCTGGAATCAAATTACACATTTTCGTTTTTTTATTGTACAGATTGAAAGAATAATTCAATTCTATTAAAAAGCAAACTACTACAACTAATACAACAACTACTAATACATGACTTTGTTATGTAGCTTTTTTTTCATTCTTTTCAAAATAAAAAAAAAAAAAAAAAAATGTGTAACTGAATCTATATGTATGAAACATTTCTTATTTAGACGACATATATTGATTTTTGAATGATAGAAACAAACAACATTCGTGTGTATGCTCTATAAAAAAAGAAAAATGTGTTAAAAAATATTATATATCATTTCAAGAAGCAAAACAAACGTTATGTATATATAAGAAGAAGAAGAAGAAGAAGAAAAAAAAAGACATAAAGTAATCACGTATAGATAACATTACACAAAAAAAGAAATTTACTTTTGAACCACTAAATAAGGTATCTTTAACCTTGACCATTTCTTGATTAATCGTAGAAATAATATATAAGAACAAAAAAAAAAAAAGAAGAAAAACTGATCTTCATTCATCCTTTCAAATCAAAATGATTGAAAATCTTAAAGGATCTTCATACGATTTAGTACAATAGTCTTGAAGTTTAATTCTTTTTTTTTTTTCCTTTTCTTAAACACGTATGGATCAGAATTATTTTTGATCATAAAATTGAGAAAAAAAAAAATTCATAAGATATTTTTTATTTGATAACTCTTTAAAATCCCTCTAGTAGGTCAAAATGAAATTATTTTTATGCTTTGAGTTTGTTGTTTTTTTCTTCTTCTAATCCTATAAATAAGAATATTGAGTATTATTTATTTTTGAATTCAACCTTGTATTTCATTATTATATTATTATATATATCAAAAATTTAGTTATAACCAACTAGAAGATCAAATGAAGAAGAAAAAATACAAATGATATTTTGAATAAGAATAATCGTAATAATAAATCTATATTTATTTATTTTTTTTTCGTCTAGTGATAATCAGATTAGATAGATTGTAGCGATCATTGCTATGAAAAGTCAATTAATATTAGAAGTAAAATAGATGCCTTCAAATAGTTATAATGATCATTAGATGTGAGATAATGCATGAATGAAATATGTATATATGCATCACTAAAGTATAGTCATAATATAAGGAATAAAAAATGATAAATTTATTTTACTTATTTATCGGTATTATGAAGAAATATAAAATTTAGATAACCTTTGAATTATTTGTTAAAAGTCAAATTAAAGTTTAGAAGTAAAAATTTCGATCAAACCGTTCGAAAATATAAAAGTAACTTATAATTAACTTCTTTTTTCTTTTTCTTTTTCTTTTTTTTTTTGTCTCTCCATTTATCATGGAATTAAAAAAATTCGATTAACCTTGACGAACATATACATTGTACCTAGTCGTATGATGATGATGATGATGATGATAGAACTTAAATAATAATTTATAATATGTATAACTTTTTAAACCATAACAAATTGAGGAAAAAAAGTTATTATCATAATCTGTACATATAAATACATGTATACTTTGTTGAACGAGATAAAAGTGGTATTAATTGAAATAGGAAGATTTTTAGATAAAAATTGATCAGTTTTTTTTGAAATATTCCTATGGCATCCATAATATTCAAGGATCATATGTTTCTGAGCTCTAATGCATGATTTTTTTCGCTCTTTTCACGTTGTTAATTTAAAAAGAGAAAGGTGTGTATATCTATATTGTATACATACACATATATATATATATATTGAAGCAAGGACATGCACAAATGTAATAATAAAACAATTCCTTGAAAGCGCTAATGTCTTAAAAATTTTTTTTTTCGTGTTCTTCTGCGGTTTTATACGCGATAGTTTTTTGTGTATAAAGAGGAGGAAAAAAAAACGTAATGAAAGAAAAAGGTACACAAATGTCTATAGACTGTAACAAATGATGTATGCAAAAGTATGACTTAATGACAATTTTTATCAAATTATTATTAATAAAGCACCTGATATGAAATAAATCTATGGAATGTCCACGTAGAAAAATAAATGAACGTCTTAAACGTGTCTATAATGATCGTTACTTTTTTAACAATAAAAATCGAAAGATTGTTACATTCGAGAGAAATATTTATCAATATTATAGACTTGAGGATTTCTGTAAATGAGTTTTGTTTTTTCTCGCCAAATCTATGATAAATTCATTTATTATATTTGAAATCTAAAGTTGTATTTAATCAAAATTCAACGAGTATCGTGATCGTAGATTGACGTTGTTAGCAGTTGTTCAAATTCACTAATGAACTTACTCTTCTTCTTCTTCTTTTTTTTTTTTTTATAACTTTGTAATGTTGGTGTATGTATGAGAAGAGTGTGAGAAAAAAAAAAGTGGGAAATATGATCTTTTCCCACCTCTACATACGTAAAACAAGACGATAAAAATGAAATGCAGTTTTTAAAATCATTTAAATATATTCCATTTGTAATGTGTGTAAAAACAAGAAAATAGCAGCACCACTATTCAGTTGTATGTATTGTACCTATATAAAACGATATTTTATGCGTGGTGATGATGATATATATTAAAGGAAAAAAAAAAAAACGAGAGAATTAAACTACCAAATTTTAAATGATTCGTATGTATGGCGTTTGGTGGTATGTGTACATATTTACACACGTATCAATAGCAAAAGTCGAACAAAAAAAAAATCTATATTGCCACCATTATTATTGTTATACGTTATATATATATATTTTCTTTTTTTTTTGTGTTCCACAAATGGGAAGAAAAAAAAGTACTATGCTCTGAACTTTTAAGCTTTCTAGAGAGAGAGAACAGGTCCAGCAACAAACAACAACAGAGTATTGAATATCATTTTTGATCACACATACTAAGGTATAAATAAACTTTTTTTTAACAACAGAGAAACGAACCAACATCGAACAAGAATACGTACAGAAGAAGAAAAAGAATTTTATCAAAAAAAAAAAAAAAAAAAAAAAAAAAAGCCAAAATTAACAAAAACCCCCCGGGGATGTTTAATAAATTGGTTATACCGATAAAAATATTTTTTTTTAAAATAAAAAAACCGTTATAAAAAAAAAAAAAAATAAAAAAAATTGTCTGTTTTTTTTTTTTCTACATTTAGTTTACATACTCTTTTTTCTCTCTCTCTCTCTCTCTCTCTTTATCCATTTCTTCTTCTACTTCTATTGCCTCTACTGTTATTTAAAAGTTAAATTTTACATACATATGATGATAATGTTGATGATGATAATACGTCTATTATGTAACTAAACGAAAATGCCATTGATTATTCGTGTTCAATAAACGGAAATAACTAAAATTATTGAATTTTGTTGATTTTTTATTCACGTTATCTACAACTATTCGTTTAAAGAAGAAAAAAAAAACAGAAATGAACAAATTATCGTCGACGAATAATAATAACAATAATAATAATATTAATAATAATAAAAATACGACATTTGAAATACAAACAATGGATAAACAGCCAAGAAGTGCTATTGTTAGACTACTGGTTGAATATAGAAGTAGGTTATTAATGCTTACTAACAATAAAAGGTTTCAGAAAGATTTCATGGTCATTAATCTTATTCACTGACAGAAGACTTAGGTGATGGATCCATCATGACGAAGAAGGAGAGTAGAGAGGAGAAATTTTTATGAATTTTAAATAAATTATAGTACCATAAGAAAAAAAAGGCATTACTCTTATTTTGAAAATAAATGAGCAAATAAAACAGCATGTTTTTTTTTTGCTACATTTTTAGTTTTAATATGCTCTTGCTTTAGTCTGTTTGCATTCTTGATGAATTGTTGTCTTTGCTCTTTGAGGGTGTAATAAGAACAATACGAGTTTTATTTTGTGACCTAAAGTATATGACCGATATTTAAAAATAAATTGTTTATAGAGAACATCGTTATCCGATTTTCTGACTGAAAAAAGAAAAAAGGTGTCAAGTATATGTTTTAACGTTGTCGTTTTTACTTCATATTTTTCAACTCTGTTGATATTTTTGTTTAACCTATTTTATGAATTGATTATACACCATGGAGTGAAAGTTGAGAGAGACTATATATTTTTTACATGGTCATAATAATACTTGTTTATTATCAAATATGACATGTACATAGTGTGAAGGACTTGTCGATTTGATCCGGAAACATATTTCATGATAATAAAAGAGTTAGATTGAAATAATTTATCTATTCATAATAAAATTATATTCTATATCTTATTGTTAGAGGAATCTAAAGACAATTTTATAGCAAAAATGTAAACTATTTAAATCATATTTAAGATTCTGAGAGATTGTATATAAGTAAATTTTGTTATTGTACTCGATTTTTTTGTTAAATTAGTATATGAAAATGACTTATTTAGTTATTTTCATATAGATGTGTAAAATAATGAATGTCCTTGGATAGATTTTTCATTTCGAAATCTTTTAACATCTATTTTTGATAAGTAAGAATAAACTTTGTTTGTAGGATGTTCTAAAACATGTTTATCACCAACTAAATGATAAATGTGTGCATATGTTCAATAAAAGAACATATTAATTGTTTTACAAGTTTAACAAGTAAATGTTTTTTTGTTCAATATACGTGCTTCTATATACCACCTTTGAGGCAATGTTCCATTTTTCTAAAATATGTGTGATTTATTACATCAACAAATCGGCTTCAATTGTTTGAACATGAACGCGTAACCTGGATGCCAGATTCTTTTTTTTGCATAGCAGTAATTGTACATGTGAAATTTTCTCTTCTCAAATTTTTCTATTATATATATATATATATATATATATCGTGAGTATAGAAAGAGATCATTAACAACAAAAAATATTTGTTGTTGTTGTGTCATGTTCATATATATATATATATATATATATGTATACATATAACAATAGAGAGAGAAAGAATTGATATCTGAAAGAAAAGAAAAATTGTTTTTTTGCTGTGTTTTATGCTACACATCAAATATACTTCGATAGTCTGTACGATCACTTATATTATTATTTGAACAATTTATGATGTTAATTGTACTGACTGAAACGTTAAAAAAGAATGAAAGACAGAATTCTAAAGAAATATAAATTATTAGCTGATGTGAAAACTACATTCTACAATAGAAGATTGAAGTCTAAACCCAAAAACTTTTAGATTGAGAAATTACTATTTCCAAACAATAAAAATTGTTGAATAATATAGTCTAAAAAGTTTAGAGATGCGACATGATTTGATGGTTAAAAAGAGTCACTATCATAGCGATGAAGTTAATTCAAAGTAGTTCAATCTAAAAAATGCGGCATCTGTCAAACTTAGATGCTGGATACAAATATTGTCTCTTCCTCCTCTATTTCTATTTTGGCAAATATTTTAGCCAATAGACCATTTGTCTATTCAATGTTCTACTGCTTGATGGAATTTTTTTTCTGTTAAACTAGTAAAAGTTGTTGATATACTATCTTTAAAACAGATAGTACACTGCTGAAGTATACTGCTGGAAGATGAAACTAATTCTTCAATTATCATCTTTTTAGTTCGTGAAAGGCCACCATTAGTTGAACCATCCACAAATGTATCATGGGAAGAAATGGTTACGATGAAAAAGACAACAGAGGTAAACGATCACGATCAGCGTCATCTTCAACAAGCAACATTTCAATATGGTGACACACTAACAACAAATGGACGAAATGAACAACGACACGAACAACAACATATGCCACCTGAACGTTTAGTAAGTAACTTATTTATTAATGTTGCCAAATAGATATCCCTATGATCGTCAGTTTTCATCTCACCTTAGGATGGAGTAATTTAAACAATCTTTGAATATTTTAGCATACAGAGCCTGTTGATCATGAACGTGCAAGAGTAAAAACAGTGGGTCAATCGGGTGCAGATGATGATGGAACAGGAGGACACAAAGCTTTGACGACAAAAAATGGTGAAATACTTGTACGAGATATGGTTGTTCAGCACATATCAGAAGATGAAAAATCGACATCATCTGAAGAAGTCATATTCGAAGAATGGAGTGAAGAATATAAAATTCGACGAACAGATGAATTTGATCAACGAACAAATCGTCTAATTAGTTCCAAAGTTGAAACTACAGATAGGAAAAAAGGTGACGTTGTCAAAGAAGAATATCGTGAGAAAAACGAACGAATCAAAGGACATAAATCGTACGATATTTTACGAGAAGTCTATCGACGTGTACCAGCGACCACTTTCGATACACCACCACAACTACGAATAACTCACGATGTACCATCACATTATTATGAAGAAATTTCTGCTCCACAACAATCTTCGACGGCTTCTTTCGGTCGTATGTCTCGTTATGTACCAATTGAACGAATGACATCTTCTTCCTCGTCCCTTGAACTATATCCTCCATCTGAAGGAGGACGATGGGCGAAAGAAGATATAAAGACGACCGTGATAACGAGTGGCGGCGATGATCGAGATAATAAACAACAACAGCTATCACCATATCACGCGGAACGTGTTCAGACTAAGTTAGACAAAGATATATCGTCATCATCGTATACATACGATCGAGTTCGTCAACAACTACCAGTGCCTTCTACTACTACAGCTCTAGCATCGACAACTTCTTCTCAGTATGATCGAATCTCAAATATCATGGGACCTGTTCAACGTTTACAACAATATCGCCGTGAATCAAAACAGGAACAAGATGATAATCAACTAAAATCAATATCTGATATTGATGTTGTCAGTGAAGAATATCATGTCGAATTAACACATGATCAACCATCAACGGCATCAAAAGATTCTCGACGAACATTACAATACGTTGGATTACAAGACTTATCATCGAAAGGGGATGTTGGTGAAATGGCAAAAGTAAGTGGTGGTGATTTGTCGAGACATGGTACGGGCAAGGGTGTAAGCAATCAACGTATGCAACAACAACGATCAAAAGATGATACATCCGAAGAAGAGCTAGATCATCCATTTGGAAGTGTTTATACAGGTTTATCAAAAATTGTCAGTGAAGCTGGACGTAATATTTCATCTATGACTCAAGATACAACAGCAACAAAAGAAGATTGGAGAACAAAATTAAAACAGGTGCATACACCGTCCGATACAGATGCACAAGAACAGGTAAATACGAATATTTATCTTTTTCTCTTTTGGAGTCGAAAATGTAGAATTAAAACAAATCATAATTGCTATGGAGCTCTCTCTCTTTAGACTATGCTAACGTAAATGACATCTCACGATGTCAGTTGCTTTCTTCACAGAAAAAAATGTTTTGATAGACATTTAAAATACAATTCATACAAAAAGCGTTCATTAATAATATTTTTCTGATATCAAATTTTTTAGCTTACACATATGATAGTTGCTCATACGATAATAAGATAGTACCTTGATCTTCATACAATATATTTGTTCTGAGCGCTCATATGCTAGTTCAGTATACTAATTTCCTCAAAACTTAACTTTTTTCATAAACTCATTTTAATTAATAATTCTCTGTGTTCTCAGGTAACAACTCTTTTTTAGTTTTCTGTCATAATTGAAGTTAAGTTGATTTTTGTTTTCAAACCAGCGTTTAAAAAATCTGTACGCTAAAAGAATCCAATATAGTAATGAATGTACTGTTATTCATCTTATGTTCGATCGTACAGCCTAGAACAGCAGTATTAATTCGACATAAGAGATAGAAAAACCTAATTGAAGTTGAATTTGTTCTGAGCTTTGTTATCAATATATTTATAATAAAAAGTTTAAAACTATTAAATAAAAGAACATTATCTCTATCAACCTCTAATTTGGATAATAAAGAGCGTTGAATCAAAATAGTTTTACTAGGCGAATCTGAAACTTTTTCTACGTCGAGTCAAAATTGATAAGCATCTAACTCTGTCATCTTTTCATCCATTCACAAACCGGAAAGTTTTTCATCTATATAATTTTCTATATGAAACATATATTTCATCGGTTTCCACTTCACTATTAATAATCAGGTAGATGAACAACACCAGCCACAACAACATCGTCGCTTGTATGATAAAGATGTTAACACTTACTATACTGCTCAAAGAGTATCTGTTCTACCGGATGATCCATTTGACAATAAAACTACAATGGGACGTATTAAAGAAGTCACTGTACGCGTTGCACGAGACAAAACTCCTCCAGAGCATCGTAAAACATCACTTTCATCTACCATTGAACCTCCACCGCAACCACAATTATCACCATCATTGGCGAGAAGTTTTAAAGAAGTAACCGTTGCTATTGCTCGTGGCTCTTCGCCAGAAAAACGAAAAACTAGTACACCGGTTGATAATAGTAACGATGGACCATTAAAACGTGGTCTAGAAAAATTGAGAAACTTGTATTCATCCGAAATGGATGAAGAGGAAGTAAGTTTGTACTCACTACACATAAACACAAGCACACACACACACAAATGTGCATGATGAATTATTTTGATTAATTTTTCTAAAAAAAATTATGAAAACCATTAAGCCTCTTACTACTTTATCCATAGCACACTATCTTATTTTTGTAGGACTTTGAACTTTGACTTTAACTATGTTTAAACAACTAATGATTGATTTAGTTCATGTATCTTTGAAAATCAGGCATATAGCGTTTCGTTCTTTTAGTCAGTATCTCACAATATCTAATTTGAAAAACTATTTCAATGATTCTGAAGTTTTTTTTTAAATTACTTGATGAACTCAATGAATCTTTATCATGTCTGTTATATCGAAAGCCACGTTCAAATCTCGAATGAAAAAAAACTTCATTCTCAATTCGCTAATTTGCTCAACTCGCTTTACGCCTGATTTCTCTAGATAATAAGATTTGTGCATGTATCAATTATTCATAGAGTCTAAACTCTAAAATTAAACCTTATAATTATTTTTACTGATGTTGTGTTCTGACACCACAAGATATATCCGTTTTAATTTTGTGCACTTCTACTTTGTGTGATTCTTATAGGACACGATTAATAATAACTTAAGTGTCTTTGAATTATTTAGAACTTCTTGTATATAAGAGAAGTAGTTGTTTTATGCTGATTGCTATCATCTCGTCCTCGTCATTATTACTTTTCTTCTTCTTCTGGATTTATTGTTTTGTAGTTTTTACTTTGTTCTATGAACAGAACAGAAATGAATTATTTCTCTACATTTTCATTGTATTCCTTTATCTTATTCTAGTTTGGTCGATCTCGAGATACAACAACAAGATATTTGAGTAAAGTAGATGATGATCGTCAAAAATCAACATCATCGTTTCAACGAGATAGAACTGTACCATCAGTGGACGAAAGAAGAGCAAAATATGAGTCAACAACTAAAACAGTGTCTTCGGATTTAAAACCAACTAGCCCACCATCTTCTGGACGTGTTGGTGAATTAAAAAATGCATTTGAAATTAAAGATGAAACACAGGCAGGAAAGTATACCACATCTATCGTAGCAACAACAACTGGTTTAACTGAACAACGACGTAAACAAATTGAAGAACAACTAGAACGTGAACGTCAAGATACGGCACAACAAATACGTACAGATCGCTCAAAATCAATCGAGGCAATCATACGCGATGAAAAAGAACAATATAAACGACAAAGTGAATTTACTCCTTCACGTATAACACGAACATCAGACAGACCAGATACGGAAAGAGCGGTAAGTGAGATAGAGAGACTGCACTCTGAAAAAAGGTGTTCTTCAGTTTTTCAAAGAACTCAAAATCAATGATTCTTCATTTGTTTAAAACTGAAAAACAAATTTTTAGTTCTTAAGAGCTGAAGAACAGAATTTGAGTTCTCTATTTGAAACAAATGAAGAATCATTGATTTTGAGTTCTTTGAAAAACTGAAGAATACCTTTATTTCGAGTGTATTTGACTCCTTTTTCGTGTGTTTTCGTTGCCTCTTGCCAATAGCATTTTCCTAAGTGACATCTTGCTTGTCTGATGTGTTAAATATGGCTTTCCTTTTACTTAAGGGTATTCCCTCTCTTTCTGTTATCCTTATTCACCTTTAAGAACTGACGATCTGCAAGTGTAACACTTTCGTTACCTTTACATTGATTCTGCCGAAGTTTTTTTAGCATTATGAGGCATGGAAAGATCTTATCTAAACACAAGCGAACATTTTTAGTAGATTATGTTTGTCCGTATGCACAGTTATGATACCAACTCATTTGAGAAAATCAGTTGTCTAATAACCAAAATGTTATCAGAGATTACGCCAACCTCTCTACTCTTTTTTCACCTTCTTGGCAAACCGAGAGTGAAAGCCCGATTGAGTTCAAGAACATGTCAGAAAATTCTGGGCAAAAATACATCGATTCTCTTTTTCGATATTCTATCTCTGATAT